TAGCTATTGCTTTTAAATAATTTAGTTCTTCATCAAGGCCTTCGGCCTTTAAAGAAATTATGTTTTAGTTCTGGTTTCACCAACAGATGGCGCCACTTGCTTATTCTTGTCCAGGCTTTCTTATCTTATCTAATCATTATTTCCTATCTGGTTCATTTGCGGTTTTGCAGCTGAAGATGGTGGTTCGGTAAAACCATCGAAACTAGTCCTGTGAAAATTCGGTAAATATAACGCTGATTTTTGTTGTTTGACTTCTGAATTAGTATTTATTTGGTGTGTTATTGTGTCTTAATGGTATCATAAAGCTTAGCTAATGTCATTTATACACTATTAGTGATGTAGTAATGTATCATGGAACTGGCAAGTAAAGAAATTGGTGACTGTCCTTTTGTTTTTCGAAAAATTTTGTCTTTCAATCACCAGCTGACGAAGCTAAGCTTGAATTATATTAGTTATTATACTTACCCCTATTTCCCTCACATGCTTAAGGCTTATCCGAGTCCTGAATAAATAACTCTGCTTATACACTTAAGACTTATCTTAGGTAGATAGACATTTTCTTGCCCAGATTTTATAGACAGCAAGAGCCTATGAAAAATTTTTAAATGAAAGTTAATTTCATGAAATGTAAAGCCTTTTTTTTAAAAAAAAAAAATAGAATTGAACGTTTTAAAGAAAGTTAGTTTTCATTTGTATATATGTTTTTGTTTGAATTATTAGTTTTAAAATATTTTAATGACTCCAAGTACTAACAGTTTAATGAGAATGAAACAATATATTTACTCATAATTGTGCAATAAATATTTTATTACTTTTTTTTTTCTGGAAAAAAAAAAAAAAAAAAAAAAGAACTGTAATAGGTGATATTTTACATTTTTTTATTTTATTAAAAGAATGTGCATTATGCAAAAAATAGTTCAAAATCATTAGAATATGTAAATAACTTATGAATTTGGAAGCTACAAAGTGTGGCAGTTAAAACTGCATTATAGTTTTTAAAATCATATTTTGAGTGTTATAATAGTGGCAAATATAATTCATGCAAATTGATTATTAACATTTAAGAAGCACTTTTGGACATTCTAAATTTATCTAAATGTGTTAATTGTGTAAATATTTTTCCTCATTTCATTGTGTTATTTTTGTATATTTTTAAACTAAATAAATATTTTTTCCAGGTGTGCTTTCCATTTTATGAATTTGCTGAAAAATTATAAAATATCTTTTCTCATTTAATTGGAAGGGAAAATATGCAAATAGTGGAAAAGAAGGACTCCTTTAAAAGTTGTAATTATTATAATTTTAATAAAAAAATTATAATTAAGTTCTTGCAAAGGGAAAAAAGTTATTGAAAAATATATAAAGCATTTTATCTATATTTTAATTCCAAATGTATAGCCATTAATTATACCTTTATTATGCATTTGTATTACCTTATTCACTGATTAAGTAACTTATTACTTGAAAAATTGTTGAAAATTAAAGAAATAAAAATTCGTAATAATGAAATCTGCACTGTGCAAGAATGGACCATAATATAAAGAAAAACAGCTTACCAAATGTATACAGTACTGCTTTCTCATAGGTAATCCTAAATACAAGTAGGCATGCAGAATTTAGGGTGATGTTTCATTGTTTACATAATTCTTTCATAAAAAGCATGATTTTTATATCTCTGTTGTCCCTTAATGTTGTACTTATTTACATAACATGTACTGTCAGTTCAAACAAAATTCAGAAGTCTCCTTTTAATTTTGATATTGTTTCTTAAAGATTAATCTAAAACATTAAAAGCCCTTACTTAAATAAGGTATTAAAGGAAATTAAGATGGGGATTCAAAAAGGGGGATGAAGGGAAAGTTTATGAAATATAAGCTTTTTCCAAAGGGACTTTGTTCCTGAAGGACTATTGTTTTTGTTTTTTGATTTTGTGTTGAAAACTTTAAAAGGCTGTATCACTTTTCAAATATTTGCCATCAAATACTATTGCCGTGTATTATATTTGAAGAAATTAAATAATGGAAGAATCTGCATAAATGTATGTATGTTTCTCACATTGTGTAAAAACAACGGTACCTAGAGCCATCCAATTTTGAATGACATCCTATTGCAAATATGGACAAACTTGAAATTTGGAATTTGTTTTATTATCGATTTCATATTTTGTAAAACTTTAACGAATTTTTTATTAACAAACTCAACGATTTAAAGCGAGCAATGGCAACATTGTACAGTAAAAAAAAAAAAATTATCTCCAGTGCATGAGTCTCTGTATCGGAAATTCTAAAGATATGCTCAATTTAAAATTATTTTGCAACATTGCTGTTGAACTGAATTTTATGGTTTAAGTGCAAAGAACATGATATTTAATAAATAAAGGTAACACACAAAATGTTAAACAAATGCCCCTTTGGATGTAATTTAAAATCTGAAACCTTTCAGATAATTTTAATTGAATGCTTTTGTTGGAATTTTTGTATTTAATTTTATTGAATGCAAACAGTCATTTTTAGTTAGTTATAAAAATATCTAACTTACAGAAAATTACTGTTACTTTGATCTTAAGACAAATTACTCTGAAAACAACTGGAACTTGAAGAAATCAATGACCTTCACTTAGGTTACATTAAAGCACCAAAATGCTGTTGTGTGTAATTATGCTGCTACATTCTTCCTTTTGCTCTGCTCTACATACTTAATGGCATAATTTATATTTCTTCGTGTCATTCTCTTTGGATTTTCTCTCATTTATTTTGGTCATCATCATCAGTTTCATCTTCTTCGTCAGAACTCACCACTACTGTCACATTATCTGCCATTTCCGCTTTTTTTGCAACTTAATAGTCTAAGTCATATTTTACTTCTAACTACTATCCAATAAAATTTGATAGCTTGGGTCATCTTTCTCTCTCAATAGCAATCCAGTATCCTCTAATGACACTTTGTGAAAATCTTGCATCCAACTAATTTATCTACAACTTCATTTGTGAAGAGATTAAAAAAAAAAAAAAAAGTCCATTGTTGAAGTTTTTAACTCTTTTATGATAGCTACAAAACTGAAAATTGTTAGTCTCAAATTGTACATTTTTCAATTATGTAATATTTTCTGATTCTGTTTGTTACCTGTACTAGCAGCCAGCTTTTCAGCATTCAGAAACTTTTTTTGTAAAAGTATTTATCTGGCTGCATAGGTGACATCTTTTCACATTGAACTTTCAGGTATCTGTGGATGCTTGAAGAATTTTAAAAGCATTGCTTGCTAGGTAGATCAGTGAGGGTGAAAAAATGATATTTTAGTCCTTAACCCAAACAACTGCTGAAGGAAATTAAAAAGAGATTAGTGTTAATAAATATATATGTCTATACAAGCTGAACCTGTGAAAATAATTCGTATTATAACCTTCAGTCTATCTATTATATCCTATATATATTATAGTGTTATTGTCAAACTCCTGTCATGATCTGTTACAAAGTTTTTGATGTATGACTTGCCAAGCTTCATTCTATAGACAAAGAGAAGAAAATTACTTTGTTAAAAAATTTTTACTGTAATTGAATGATAATTGTGTTTCTTATCATTGATTATTTGAATAAAAACAGTTAAATGAATAAACAAATAACTAAAGTTACCCATATCTTAACCTAGATCCATACTGGCAGTATGCATTGAAAAATAAAGTAGAATATTTAAAATAATGGAAATAAAATTATTAAAAAATAAGTAGGTCCAAGCTCAGTTCTTTTTTTTTCCTGCTTTTTCACTCTTTACTTGTGTTCGAGTTCTGCATAAAGCTCAGTATTTAATTTTTTAAATAGGCTGCTGTGAATGCCATCTGTTTCTTATTATTATATCATTGCAAGTATATAAATAAAACATTTTATATTCACTAATAAAGCTGTACAAAAAAATTTCCTTAAAAATAAAATTTTTATTATAGTTGAAATTTTTATTTTACTCATTTATAAAAGTTTGATACTCATGCTTGAAATCATAAAAGAAATAGGCATCACTGTAAAAATGTCCAGGTGTTTTTTTAAATCAATCCTTCTAGATATTAAATTTGCATTGTATCCATTTTAATATTTAATTTTTAATCCTTAATTATTAAACAATAAGTAGTTCTTATGTGGTACAATTAAAAGTTGTCAGTAACCAATAAACTATCTTTAACCCGCGAGCACACACACTCATATAAGTTACACGAGTGCATGCCCCGATTCATGTTTTTTGAAGAAAAAATTATAAATCTTCAGAAAAAGTGTTACATCTATGCCAATAATAAATTCTATGATCAAACTTAAAAAATATGCACATTAAAATTTTTAATTTTTCCAAATGCTTTTTTGAAATAAAATTTTTTAAAGAAATAGAAAACCATATTATATATATTAGCATAGGGAAAAAATAGTATACATTTGCTCTGCATTGATTTCTTTCTTAGCTATATAGACACAGAGAAAAAAATGCAAAAACAAATGTTAGCTGCACATTTAACAAAGTGTTGTCTTGTGTTCCAAATACAAATATTTTTCACATTCGGTACAGCACATTTTAGTTTTTCTCTGCGTTTGTGCTGGGCAAATACAGCATCTTTTTTTTTTTTTTTTTTTTTCCTTTTCTTGCCCCCTTTTTTGTTTCCAATAAAGCATTTATGTCATTCTCACTCTAATTGTAAGATAAATTGCATGACATTTTTGCCAATTTCTATACTATCACATAACTATGTAGTAACAATGCCTTAGTAATATGAAGCTGATCAAAATCAAGACTCCAAATCAAAGCACCAGGGAAAAACTTCATAGACATAAATATGTCGATCTGAGACAACTTGCATGAAATAGGCATGCTTCGAGAAAGGTTTGTTTAATGGTGCTGGTCCACTGGCCTCAGTGTGTGCTTGCGGGTTAAAGTAGTATCATTTTTATCAAGCTTTACTCTAAAAATAATGCAAAAAATGGGATGTACTACAGAAATATTATATTGATTTTCTTCTATTCAGCTAGTGAAGGTGGTACTGAATCTGGAGAAGATATATCTGAAAAAGGAGATGAAGAAATAAAACCTAAATCTCATAGAAAGAAAAGTATAGCACATGTTTATCTTTTTTTCTTAATAATTCTTCAGTTGTTTTATTTCAAGCAATTTTCATCATAAATACTTAATAATTTAAATAATTTCATCATAAATATATTAATAATTCTGTTCTCTTCACATTTATGAAATCATATGACACAATTACAGCATACTCAGAAGAAGAGGTAAAAAAAATGAAAGAACAGATTGAATTAGACAGAAAAGCCCTAGCTGAACGAAAAGACCTTCTAGAGGAGGAGCGTCAAAAAATCAGCAATGAATTAGAAAAAAGAGAAAAGGACTTAGAAGGAATTAGGTAAAGAAAAATACTTAACATTTCTTGAATTTTTTTAAATTTTAGATAAAAATTATTATGAAAATTTAAAATATTACAATTATGCAATATTTAAGAAACACTAATTTTTTTTAATTTTAGATAAAAATTATTATGAAAATTTAAAATATTACAATTATGCAATATTTAAGAAACACTAATTTTTTTGTCATAATTGTTAATAGTGCTGTATTTGTCAATTACAAAGCAACAGTTCAATGAATATAAATGAGATTACATTTCACAAGATTTCTACACGTCTTAACATGTTTTAATTCATTAGGTTGCCTATAAGAAGGCAATTCCCCTCATTCTTTTCATTGAATTTTTGTCAAATTGTATCCTTATTTTTCTCAGGCATTCTAATCATATTTTCAATAATGACAGTTTAATGTATGTGAAATGATTTTTTTTATTAACATAAAATATACTACTTAACAAATATTAGGTTTAATAGCCAAAATAAAAAAATAATAATAATAAATTTATTCAGTGGTTGTTTTATTATTTTCTCTTTCACATACCATCATTAATAGCAGTTATTTTGAAATTTAGACTGGATCATGATACTTTGCTTCATAAACTTCAAAGTTTGGAAAAACAAATTATAATAGGTGGTGAAAATCTTCTTGAGAAAGCTCAGGAACAGGAAAAGTTATTAGAGGAGAGTGCTAAAGAGCTGGAAGAGAGAAAGAATAAACAGATAGAGCTGAGGAAAGCTTTGGAGGAAAAAGAGGTATTATTGTTTTTCTTGTTGATCAAATTACATTCAAAACACTAAGACAGTCAAAAAAGTTTTTCTTTAGGAAGAGCTTTCAGTAATATAGTGTTTTTCAAGTCAAAAGTTCTTTTGATACACATTTTAATAATTTCACTTAATTCTTAACCATTCTAAAATCTTTTTTAAAAAATTATTTACTGAACATGGAAAATGAAAGATAAAAATTGCAAAAGAAGCAGTGTCATAATATATTAAACGTTAATTCCTTGTAGATTTGGGAAAAAACTGTATTGAATTTAAACTTTTCTAATATTCCACATGATTTTAGTATTTAGAAGTCCTCCCCCTTCTATTAAGAAATGCTTTTCACTTTCAGAGGTGGCCATCATAGGATGTGGCTATCTGAGAAATCTCACTGATTTTATTTACTTGTTGTTATTATTTGTTACTACATATTGTCAGATTTTTAAGCTAAATATTTTTTAAAAAATTTAAATGGTGAACTTGAAAACATATTCAGTGCTGCTTTTTAGTATAATCTGCAAGTCAGGTGGCTATGCTTATTTAAGATAAATCTCAATATAAGAAAATGAATAAAGTAAGTTAAAAAATAGAATCTGGGGGGAGAGCAGGAGGTACTACATGCATATTTTATTGGGACATTCACTAGACACCTGCTGAAACAATTGTAAAAATTAAACATGCATGGCCAATCAGGTAATAGTTCAAGTTAAAAGAATAATTTTCAGTCTTTCATTTGAGAAAGAGGAGTAATAATACATTTCATCTGAATCACTTGATGAATGTTGTATCATATCCATTTGTAATGGTAGTTAATTATTGTTATGATATTATTAGGATAGGGAAAAAAAGCTTTAAAACTGAATTCTATACTTTAAATGATTTTATGATGATTGTTAAAGGTATATTTTCATCTCGATCATTTTCATCATATTTATGTATTAATTTTATTCGTTAATAATCAGAAAACAATTGTATGAGACAATATAGTGCACAAATTCATTGAGAAATAACTAACAGATAATATTGACAAATAAACATATTTATTATGCTGAGTGATCCAAAATTAAAAATTCAATAATTCAAAAAGTATGGGCAGTAACATATTATTTTCTCAGAAATGCCCAGAAAGATATGAGATTTATTTAGTAATGAAAACTTATGTCGTCAGAATAGTTGCATTTTTCTTGGAAGTAACAAGTATACAAGGTCAATGGACATGATTGGCAATAATGTTTTGCTTTCATTTTTGTGATCCTAAATAAATTAGCAAAGCCTCAAGGGCTATCTGCCTAAGGAAAAGGATGCCTTTATGTAGGACATTCTATAGGAAACAGGCTTGTATACACATTACACATGATTGGTGATAATGAAAAAAGTTATTTGCCGATAGTTTGACAGGAATTATAGCTAAACCCTTTTAGATACTGTGTAGAGTGTCATGTGACCTCTGATAGCCATCACATTGACTATTTGTAATCTTAGCTGCATTGTAGGCTGTGCTGCACCACTGTACAAACTTCTTACACAACTGAAGCAAAACCTGTCTGGCTATAAAATCTTCCATTATTAAAAAAAATCCAAAGTCTTTCTTTGCATTTCTGTGAATCCTTTTGCATCACCCTGCACATAAAAATATTTAAGTATCATAAATTTTTAGTATTTATTTCAATAGAAAGTAGACTGCAGTATTTAAAGTTAAGGAAAAATGCAACCATACATTGATAAAGATCCTAAATAAATTCAAAATCCAAGGCTGCATGTAAGTTGTTAATTTTACATTGGCATGTTTTACTTCCACTTACATCATAATATTTTACAGACACACACACACACACACACACACACAAAAAAAAAAAAAAAAAAAAAAAAAACTTTATTATACATGGTTATTGATAAAGTATGTAATCTGACATTCTATAGAATACTTAGGCATATTATAGAATGGCAAACCAGCAGTGTATGAAATGATTAAACATTTCACACATTGCCTAGGCATTCCAGAGAATGCTAAATGACAAACCAGCAAATTATGAAATATATCTTCAATTCCTTTTGAATATCACGTGGCAAGGCATTTGCCTTTTATTCCTCCACTTAGATTCGGAATTTGCGCTTTGTTCAGTATTGTCGGAGTACGCAATATTACTTAATTTTTTCAACAAAAAATTAGTTTTTTGCTGTGCTACATGGAAATGAAAGAGTAAGATATAGTGTTGGAGAAGGACTCACATTCAATAGACATGGAATGATGGTTCAAAGATGAATTGTCTAAGCTTTGAGTTAATGCTGCAAAAAACAATTTGCTCTTAACCAAAACTACTTACCAGAAGTTAATAAATGATGTAAAAAAAAGCCAAAATGACCACTAAGGAGAAACCATGGGACTATTGGCTGCTGATTGCTATGATGTGATGTTGTAGGAAACAAAAGTAAACTCATTTATCTTGTTAAAGAAGGCATCAGTGCTAGGCAGTATTACATTATGGACACTGAGTTATTTCACATACTTTTTTTGGCTATTTTGGTTAACTCATTTAGTTATTGGACACAGAGGAGGTAACAGAATGTTGAAAGAACTTTCAACTAAATACAAAAACATTACATGTTATAGAGTCTCATGCTCTTTGGTAGCATAAATTCATGAACTTTAAAAATACTATAGAGATCCTCTTGTCTTAAACTGTAGGCAGACAAAATAAGAAGAAGGATATAAACAGCCCTTTTATTTGAACACAAAGAAGAAACAATGACCCAACTTATGTTTACACAAGCCAACACTTCTGGCTTAACTTAAACAAGTAATGCTGAACTAAAATTGAATGTAGTTAGATTAGCCTAATGGCTCACAGGATAAAGTAACATGCAAAAAGACTCTGGCTTGTAGGAAACCGTCGAGACAAGCCTAATGGGTAGAAGCACTCAGTATCACAGAATCAAATGGCTATTTAGTCACAGTAACAACATGGCCTCAAGTAGGCAGAACATGCTCTAAAATTAACTTGCGATATCTTTGCTTAAATAACACTTCTTTCTCCTTCAGTCTGAATATATGCTCGCTATCTCATTTACATTCTGGCATGAAAAGTATGGGTAAAAAGCAGAGTGACAGAAAAGTTACTTTAACTCAAAATTTACTACAGTCAAAAGTCGTTAATTCGGACACCCATAATTCGGAATGATCTATAATCCGGACCTCAAAACTAAAAACTTTCTGCGCATGCGCCGCGTTGACACATGCGCATAGTCGTTCACGCGTGTGCGTAAGACCTTTTACGACTGCGCATATGAGTGTGCGCAAGTGCAGAATACGTTTTCGCGTGCACGTTTTATGTATAATGGACGTATAAGCTAAAATTATCTAATTATCTATTTCAGTTAATGTTGATTGCGTTGTTCCTTAATTTTCGAATTGGATCCGGCTTATTATTTTTTTCAGACTGTAAGAGCAATTTTATAAAAGTAAGCTTAAACTTTCGATTATATCAAATAGAATTTCCGATATATATTTGTTAATATGTAAAGGATCTAAAGCGAAAGTATGTTTTGAAATCCGAAATCTGTTTATCAATTTCACGCTGCTCGGCGGGGGGGAACGCCGCGCGGCGGGCGCGTAATGAATTGGAAGTTATCTGTCAGCACTATCCTTATCTTCAAGGCAGATGTTTTTATTTTATTTGGCTTATAATTGAAGATCAGATGTTTTTATTTTATTTGGCTTATAATTCCTTACCAAATGTAGTATTTCATCTCGATATGCCCCGTCTTTGATATGATTTAAAACAAGTTCCTCGTCATTATAATTCGCTTCCGATAGCGAAGAAAAGTAACAGAGGTTATTGAAAACGAAAAAATTTCGATTGACAAATTAGTCGGTGTTCTTGACACAGCAATTATAGGACTTGAACAGCGGAAACTTTGTAACTGAACAAGAAATTATGTCTGTTTAATAGAATTAAAGAGAAAGTATTATCACATGAAACGAAGCAAAACTTAAACAACTTACATTGAAAGAAATGTTTATTTAAGTTAACAAATAAATATTAAGCTTTTTCTTTTTGCAAATTTTGATACCCTTTAGATCATAATTGTTCTTTATTTCATAAATTACGGTTTCATATTTTTAATTTTATAATTTCTGCATGCCATCTTACGAGATTTAAACTGATGATCTATAATCCGGAATCGCCGAAGTCCCGATGAGTCCGGATTAACGACTTTTGACTGTATTAGTAAAAAATAAATAGATAAATCCTGACATTGTTCCTGTTTTCAGGTAGAACTTGTTGATTTCCAATCTCAGTCAGACAGAAAATATAAATTTATTATGTCGTACCAAAATCATCTAAAATAATTTGTGATTCTGAATACTCTGAAGTCAGAAAAAGCAGAATAAGCCTACAAACTAGTAAATATATTCCCATTGCTTGGGACACCATCCATATTACAGTTTGACAATGGTAGGGAATTTGTCAATAATGTGGTAACCAGTTTAAAGGAGTTTGGGCCTGCACTGAAGATCGTCCGTTTTATGAAATGCATTAAAAAGCATGCATCATTTTTCAAAATGAGCAGAAATCTTTTAATTGGAGAACTATTTATTTATTAATGAGTTGTATATTCCTGCTAAATTCAATTTCCTTTCCCTTTTTTCATGTTTATTTAGTATAATTTTCTCTTCTGTTTTTAGTATTCTTTGTAATGAATTAAAAATAGTATTATTTCTAGTACAAAATTTAAAGCATAATGGCTTTTTAAAGATATAATAAGTTATTCACTGTGTAAGATATAAAATTAGAACTATACTTTTTGATTTCTTGTACTGAATTATATGCATATATTGTTTCACATAATAAAATTACCAGATGAATAACATTGCAACAGTTAAAAAAGAGAAACTGTAAAATGATTTTTATTGCAAAACAATAATGTATATTAATCTGTTATTAAAAATATTAATATGTATAATGCAGTGCAATTTACAAAATTTGAATAATGAAAAACCTTTATAAAATATATCAGTAATCAAATTAATTATTAAAGTGATGTTTTTCTTTGTTATTTTCAAGAATATTAAAAATTAGTGTTTAATAAAGTTATAAAAATTGTTCTTTAATGCAAGTGTGTTTCTGAGTACAGTTTAATCTTTCTTCACTGTTTATAAATTCTTTAAATTATGTATAAGCATTTCATGTTTGTAGGTTTCATACTAATAAACAACTTGTTAATTCCACAGAATACTGGTAGTTCCATCTGTTGTTTTTGATTGTAAACAATGAGGAAAAGCTAGCTGCATATGTGTTTTTATGAGTATTCCCATGTATTATATAAATACAAGTTATTTAATTCCCTTAGACTGTCTTTGCAAATCGTTTTGAGATAGTTAGCCCTCAGCAACTGTACTTTTTTAAGTCATAGTTCAAGGATTTTGAATTGCTGTAATAATTTGCATAGCTAAAACAACTTGGAATAGCAAGAAAAGGAATGTTAATATGTAAAATAATCTGGTGTCATTTTTATTATTTCATACTAAAATATATGTAGTATTTTTCATTCATATTTCTGAAATTTTCATGTGGCTTGCAGTTATCATGAAATACTTGCCATTTAAAGTGTTTTTAATGATTATTTTGCAGACAGAGCGATTAAATATTGAAGAAAAGTATTCTAGCCTTCAAGAAGAAGCTGCAGGAAAAACAAAAAAGTTGAAAAAAGTCTGGCAAATGCTTCTTAGTGCAAAGAATGAGCTTAACGATCTCCGACAAGAACATCAGAGAGAAATGGAAGGTCTGCTCGAAAATATTCGACAATTAGACAGGGAACTTAGCCTCAATAAGCTTATTATTGATATGTTCATTCCTCCCGAGTATCAAGATGTTATTGAACAAGCAGTCCAATGGAATGAAGATATTGGCGAATTTCAGTTGAAATGTGTTGCATATACAGGCAATAATATGAGGAAGCAGCTTCCAGTTGTTGATAAAGAGAAAAAGAAAGAGGTAAAATATAAATTTTATATGCTCTTTTCTAATATGTTATTCTTTCTCTCTCTATGTATATATATATGTGTGTGTGTGTCATGTAGTTTTTGTGGATGATGGAGCAATTCACTCTATTGTCATGGCCGAGAAGATTGTTGCTTAGATGATGATTGATGTGAAAATCAGACCTGGCTTGATGGTTAAAACATCATTTTTATTTTGCACACGAAGAATTATTCAGAAATACATTTTTGCTTAACTGGTGTAAGACTAGGGATGCTAAACATGCCCCATAATTAAAATTTTAATTTAATTAAAATTTATAAATTTGAAGGTCTATTGCCAGCTTATTCCAATTAAGTTTAATAATTTTGTTTTGTACTTTATATTTTACATATAAAAATTATAATGTTTATATATTTAACAATCCTTTCATGACAGTAATCTGTTTTATGCTATACATATTTTTGTTTTTAGAATATAAAAATTGAGTTTAATAACAAAAATTACTGTAATGGCAGATTGAGGTTTTTATTGCAGGAAATTAGAAGTAAAAAAAGTATATTTAATACAACCAAGATAAAAATTAAGATGTAATATGTGGAGTTAATTTTAAACATATTGCTTTATTTTGTATTATATATATACACACATTTTTTATCTTGCACATCTATATATCTGTGTGTGCAAGGTAAAAAAAGTGTAACTATTAATTATATTTTAAATTGCAAAAGTCCTTTTTAATTCCTGCTACATCCTCCTTCAAAGAATCTGTACTGCGTCATTAACATCATTAGTTTCTCCTGCTGTATTCTGCAATGCTGCGAGCTTTTACCTGTCATCATTAAAAACTGAAACAAAGGAGCCTTACTTAAATACTTAATCTTCTCAACAAGCAGCACTTTTTATCCCCTGCTGTCACTTTATAAGCACACAATTAATCGCTTTGTATTTTTCATCTTTGTTTAAAAATGTAATTTGTTTTATATAAAGTTGTGAGGTGCAAGTTACATCCATAGTTCTGCATTAATCAAGAAGATATGCCTTAATAGTTTAGTTGTCAAGAAATAAAGATATGTTGTGATTATCCAGCTATTTGTGTTTTTCCCGAGGTTCCAGTCATCTACACAACAGTTTATCCCAACCGTGACTGCTAAATAGTTGGTTTCATCATCTACAAAATTATTGCATATATATATACATTTGTTATCAGACTTATTTTAATTTTTCAGGTTGATAATCTAGATCTGTCACATCTTTATTTGTCTTATAACACCGATAATGTAACAAGAATACCTACTCGCTTGAAATCATCTCGTGGAAAGCCTGGACGTTCTCATTCTTCTAGGCCAAAATCTTCAAGAAAATGAAGAAAATTTTATTTAGCTTTTCAAGTATATTAGCTTTTATCTGTGTTAATTTAGCTTCATTGTAGCCACAAAGTGGTAAGAATATCTCATTAGCTGAATAATAAAGTTTCTTCTGTTATTTTTTTATTACTTTTGAAATATCAAAAATATATATAATAAATTCAAAATAGTATATTGAATTATTTTATGCCCATCAACATAATAACTTAAGTAAAATGCATAACAAACTTATATTTCAATTGCTTGCTTATAGATTCCTTTGTTTTATAGCTGGAGGAATTCAACTGACTTGGCATTAACTTTGAATAATTTACTTCAAAAGAAAGAAAAACTTTTTTCCATTTCTGCAGATGCATATGTGTCTTGAAACATAGTAAGCTTCTTTACTGAAATTTATGCTACACAGAATTAAATTTTGCACATATGAAAGCTCAAATTGACATGCATCTCTTGCAATCCTCAAATTTCCATATTTAATGATTCCACAAAATATAGTTAATATGTTTCTATATATTGTAGAAAGACCAAAATCTTCACCTTCAGACCCCCACCCCCATTTTTACAAAATTTCAGAATGGAGAATACTCTGGGAAAAACAGAAAGATGTCATAAAATCAATTTTTCTTCTATGTCACCAGCTGACAAAAAAAAAAAAAAAAAAAACACCATGGCCAATGATGATGCATTGATTGATGTTAGCCATGAGCATACTTTTGGTGCTTCAATGGTTGTGGAGGTCAGAAGGAAAGGTTAACATTTTAATATTTTTCTATCTATAGCCTAAACAAAAAGGGAAATCCTAAAACATTTGTTTGGAGTCGGATGTTGCTAATGCTAGTTTTCCTTTGTTGGCATTAAAATTAGATTTGATAAGCACAGCAAACTGCACTCTTCCGTAACTAATTTGGCAGAAATTTTCAGTTGAAGTAATAAGAATCAAAGCGTGACATACGACATCATAGGTTCAACGTTATATATTACCTATATTAGTTTTTGATGAAAATCTTGAAAAACAGATTGCTAATTTTCCATTGTTTAAATGCCTGTTTCTTCTTTTAATTGATTCTCAGGTTGTTATTTTTTGGTTAATTTATTCATATTTGTTGTTAGGTGCTTTCTCATGTTTGGATTGTTTACTTGTACAAATTAAGCTGGTGATTTATTTTTATTATATCTTTCTTTATTTTTTAATGCTTTTCAATTAATATCCTATTCTAATTGTTAAACTTATTTCACTTTTGTTTATTAAAAAAACTTACTTCCTCCTGTTAAATGTGCATCATATTTAAAAATATGTATTGCTTTGATTTGCAAAATGTTTGAATTGTTTAATTAGCCATATTATAATCAGGTAAATGAATATCAAATATATGGCCAGTGGACAACAAACTGACATGTTATCACTTCAGAAATGTGGAACCTTTTATTACAATTATGTTTTTGGAAGTTGGCATGTTTATCAATAATACATAATACATTATTAGGGATTCAAGGGCTCAAAGAAAAATTCTTAAATAACTCTTTAAACAAAAGTGATTCAGCTCAAGTACAAATTTTACAGTCATTTTGATATTCATTTTTGAAATTATATACAGATGCTCATCACTTATGAACATTCGCAGCAGATGCAAACAAATCTGTTCTCTCCGAAATCTGGAATTGAAAAGAAAATAATGCCATCCAGTCCTGCCATCTTATTTGTAATTGGGGGGGAGAACTTATTCAGACAAGTTTAGACACTTATTTTCTTAGAAAAATACTTCAAAAAATAGTGTTGTGACCCATCTAACATGCCAACGCCTTCCATTTCTCATACAGCCTTCTCATCACAAATGCCCCCTTTACTTATCAGTGAGTCAGATGTTGATTTGCCCGAACCCATACAAAGATCTACTTGCCTCATCCTCACATTTTAGTACTTCAAACTGATACTATTTATCTCACAAACATTATTAGGAAATATAGATAGTGAATGCAACATGTTACGAACAAATTCATGGTACAAATGGTGTTTCAGAATATAATTCGATTGTAAGAAGGAGAGCATATGTACATAATTTTTTATGTACATTATTTTTTTAGATATATACAGGGTGATTATAATTAAAGTTTAAGTTTCAAAACGCTATAAAAAAAGAACCACTGATGAAAATGATGTGAAATTTGAAAGGAATGTTATTGAAGAAGGCGGAACGAGTATGGCAGAAGAAAAAATTTAGTTTCAAAAGTTAGCAACAGATGGCGCTGTAAGCGGCAGAATCACGACGAGAAACGAGAAATGTTTCGTAAAACAACGGCTAAGGTGGAAGTTACACATTAAAAACGCATTGACAAATTAGAATTGTTGAATAATTTTATTTGCATGACTGTACATATCACATCGGAAGGCACAAATCGGTGGGTTTCAAGAGTTTTGCGGCGGCATACCGCATAAGAACCATTCATCAAAGAAGTTCGGAACTGTCGCAAAACACATGTTCAATATGGTGTCCACCGTTGTGTGCAACAAGTTGAAAAGCGACAAACAGCATGTTCCACAACGGATCGCAGTGTCTCCGGGGTGATGTTCAGAATGTTTTGCGAAATGCGTGCCTTTAATTCCGCTAAATTTGCAATTGGAGCATGGAACACAACATCCTTCAGATATCCCCACAGCCAGAAATCACACGGAGTAAGATCAGGCGATCGGGACGGCCAGGCTGTAGGGAAATGACGGCTGATAATTCGAGCATTTCCGAAATGGCGCCTCAGCAGCTGCTTCACGGGATATGCAATGTGCGGAGGAGCGCCATCTTGCATAAAAATGATTTCATTCACACATCCACGCTGTTGCAGAGCTGGAATCACGTGGTTGCGCAAAAGAGACGCATACCTCTGACCAGTGACGATTGCGGTAACAGGACAGGACCGGAAGCACCCGTCTGCTCGAAAAAATGGGTTGTAGGATGACTAATGCCGTAAAGCCACACCATACCGTGACCTTTTCAGGATGAAGTGGTACGGGGTGCGTTGCCAGTGGATTTTCTGTTGCCCATATTCGACAATTCTGGGTATTCACGTATCCTGTCATATGGAAATGGGCTTATGGTCATATGGTCATATGGAAAGTGGATAATGAATGGCCGTGGAAAATTTCCAACGTCTCCCTAGCTGTCAGGTCAGAAGGAAGCAACTCCTGCACATGGCCAATTTTGTACGGATAGCATTGCAGGATGTTTCGTACCTGTCGTTTCGAATTTTTTGCATCATTTTCTTTAGACCTACGACACTCATTGGACCAACGCCTTCTTTTATACCCTTCAGTGTCCTGAATTTTTGCAGAGCTACTCTTGCACAATCATCATTCTTGTAATACAGCTTTACCAGCAGAGCGCGGTCCTGCAGTGAAACACCCATGGCGAATGCCTGAGTCGCGAAATGAGGAACAGCCTGGTACCTGGCAGCTTTATAACACTGAAATTTAACTAACATTTTAATTTACGTCTTCTTCCGCTTGCAGCGCCATCTGTTGCTAACTTTTGAAAACTAAATTTTTTCTTCTGCCATACGCTTTCCGCCTTCTTCAATAACATTCCTTTCAAATTTGACGTCATTTTCATAAGTGGTTCTTTTTTTATAGCGTTTTGAAACTTAAACTTTAATTATAATCACCCTGTATTAACCTTTTTTTCCCCTTCTGTTTTTTTATAAAGTTGTATGATATTATCAGGATGGGGAAAGACAAAAATTGCTGATGTTAGTTCTTATTTACAAAAAGTTAGTTCTTGCAAAGTAAAAGTTATAATAACTTTTTACTGAATTTTTGTACAGAATTTTAATATTCAAGCAAAAATTGATGTCTTAAAATTTTGTAGATATAATGAGATAGTAATTTCAGTTATAAGCAGACATTAACATCTTAGTTTCTAAAATTTCGACACTGTTTTGTTTAGACTGTATATATCGATTATTCTAAAACATTTTCATTTTAAAAGTATGTTATAGAACAAACATTAATGAACATACTCTAAAACAACCATCATTTTCAAATATACAAGTTAAGCTTTAAAGAAGTACTGTACTTCATTATATCAATTTTGTGTGCCTTTAATTTACATTTACATAACTCACAGTAAGCTTTTGTCCTGTTTTCATTCTTTCTAGCCAATTTTCAAACGCAAGTACAATCATTTTGAAAGGTGGTACTGAATTACTCATAATAAACATTTTAATTAACATAGCATATAATGACTTAAAACTTTGGAATCCTAATAGATCACTAAAAAATAACAGAGATAATACCAGCTACTAGTGCTGGTAGAGTGCACATGTGCTCAATACCTATGGGCTACGATTGCCCATTATTAAGTTTCATTTGGGCCTAAATAAATTATTTGTTAAATTAAAAATTAATTTCAATGTATAGATTATATTAACATATAGATTTTGAGATATATTAAAAATAAATAAATAAATAGCAAAAGTGTACAAGGATATGATGAATTAGCAGAAAATTTGTAAAATCGCATAGCTGTAAATTTTAGAAGTGCGTCTCAAAAGGAGCAAATTTGCAAACCATCGCATGATCTGGCAATACTGATTTAATGCAGATTATTTTTTAGTTGTTATTATTACATCTATCGTATTAAAGTTAACATATTATTGTGTTTCTTATGAGGAGTTTGTGCGATTTGGAGCGATTGACGACAACACTTGATGAAGAATGAAAGCACAATTTAGTAGCTAGTATTGCTCAGGTTTGCTCCAAAAGCATGTTTACAGTTGTTGAAAAACATGCTTAAACAATAACGCAGAGTTCAGGCTATAATGGTGAAGACATCTTCACAGCAAAGCTGCTCCTGACTCGGTTTGGTCGTTCTCAGAACTCAACGTACTCTTGAGACTCTCCACGCAACTCGCGATGCACTCAATAGCCTCAACAATGCACACTCTTGATGCACCAACTCAACACTAAACCGACGATCACCTCAATAGACTATGAGACACTACTTTACTCTGCGTACCAGCAGAGTTTCTATAGCTTTTGGGCTGTCTTCAAGAACATTCTAGGCCAAACCGGTAAGAATTTGTTCTAGAATGTTCTCCATTTACCCACGACATATCACAAATTTTTGTCACTGAATGGGCGATTTCTTGCCAAATCTGGCAACTTCAAACCCACCTTGTGGGGAAGCTATCTTACCATGGCTGGACATTTTGTAACAATATGAAATTTTGATTATGTCAGAAAGACTCCATTTTTGAAGCAGTTCCAGAATCTGCAAAATCTGATACTTTGCCTTCTATTATTGCTTCTAAAGTACAAAGGCTAAATTTTTCTATTAATTGAATTTGTGGAGAAGTAATAAATGAAGATGATAAAACTGAAGTTTTTCTTTGCAATGGCAATACCCCAATCAAGTAATGAACAGCAAAATCTGTAGTATTATTTTAAACCCATAAAATATCACTACCGATAGTGATGAAAATAAAAGTGAAGATAAAACAAGACTTAGATAATGGAGATTTGTAATTGAACAAAAAATGTCTGTTTATAAAATTAAAGCAAACACTTGCGAAAAAAAAAGCTTAAACAATTGATTTACCTTGGAGGAAATATTTAATCAAAGCTTTTTTTGTAAATTTTGGTTCCCTTAGAGTCATGAATGCTACATTTCATGCATAATTACTGCATGTTTTTAATTTTATAATTTTTACATGTCGTGTCATTAAACTAATTTTCTATAATCTGGAAATGCCAAAGTTTTTATGATTCCAGATCTCAGACTTTGTACTGCATAACAGAATTCATGATTTAGTTTTAATTTGAGGCGAGAGAAGACACATAACAAATTTTGATGATTATGGCTTAACTATCTGAATTGATGAAATAATGAAAATTATTATATAAATAAAAATAGTAATTTATATTTTACATGTTCATTACTCTGAAGATACTGAAAATATTTAGGCAAATTTTAATATTAAAAAAACCTTGAGAAAAAAGTTCTAATTTTTAAAAGAATTGCGAAAGATATATTCTTAACAACATTCTATGGTCGAGGAAGAGTAGGTATAAGAATACTACAAATGATATACTTAGAAAATAATGAAATTGAGCATGATCGTAATCAGTATTCAAGATTAATGAAGAGTAAATCTTCTTTCCAAATAAATTGCTAACGTTACAGACAAAGTCATATTTGAATGCAGCATTAGTGGACAAAATATAATTACATTTAATTGTAACTAAATTATACAATAACTTTATAACGTAATTCTGCTTTTCCCTCCTCCAAGACTTACCTCAGAACTAGAAATTTATTGGACATTTAAGTACATCTGACTAAAATTCTTCAAAATATGATCCTTCAGCATCAACACAGCGTGTCTTCCACTGTTCGTAGCCCTTCTGGATGGCCTCGGGCGTCATGCTGTCAAGGGCTCTCGTCGAATGCATGCTGATTATTATTATTATTTTTTTGGTAAAGGAGTGATTCACAAGGAGTTTGTTGCTCATGGACAGACTGTCACAGGTGACTTTTACGCTGGAGTGCTTTGCCGCTTGAGGGATCGGGTCAGCCCAGCGATCAAGGGTGACTGGATTCTCCACCATGACAACGCACTAGCTCACACGTCCCCACTGAAGTTTTGGTCAAGTTCAACGTGACAACACTGCCGCAGCCACCCTACAGCCCTGACTTGGCTCCAAGTCAACTGACAAGCCCTGACTTGGCTCCAAGATTTTTTCTCTTCCCCTGAATCAAGACAGGCCTAAAAGGGAAACGATTCGACGCCATCCAGCAGGCTTTGATGAGAGCCCTTGACAGCATGACGCATGAGGCCTTCTAGAAGGGCTATGAACAGTGGACGAACAGCACTGTGTTGATGCTGAAGGATCATATTTGGAAGAATTTTAGTCTGCTGTACTTGTCCAATAAATTTCTAGTTCTGAGTTAAGTCTTGAAACTTTTGAATCACACATCCTATAAATAAGGAAATATTTCACGATGAAAATCTTTTCGGTTTTGACTTCACTTAGTTTATACCATGCTTTCTTTTCTCATGTTAGGATGAGTTATGTTCTCACTATTTTAATTTACAGCAAATTTTCCATACACTATTAGCATTAAATGCCTCTTCAAAACTGGTTACATAATTGCATTTTACAAAAATGTGTTTGCGAACTTAGTTTAATGTCAAAGCATTTTTAATAAACAACCAACTCTAACTATGGAAAAAAGTATATTTAAAAATTAGTTTTCAGAAAATGTATGTATATATAGAATTAAATATTTACAAGAAATAAGATACAAAAATGCTTCCAAAATTCATAATTAGCTACACAAATTAGTGCTCTAAGACTTAACATAAATATACATTTTCATTTTTGATCCTTTGGTGTGTTGAACGGTATTACTAAATTCTCTGTATTTTCAACCTGTATGCATTGAAGAGCAGCAACAATCAAGGAATTAGCTTCTTTAACCTAAAATAAAACTCAAATTAATGTACATATAACCAAACCACGAAACTACAATACTTAGATAAAAAGCTTAGAGATACTTTGATTACATTGATACTAATTTTCAATAAATTCTACAGTTTCTACGGGAAAATGTTTCCACTGGCTTAGATTTTTTTAATTATGGCAGAGCAATATTTCCGTAAGAGTTTCAATGAGAAGTGGGTCCCATAAATATCCTAATAATTCTTAAACATGAACTTTGAAACTTATTTTAAAATCCTGATGTACCAGATTAATTAACTTAATTGACAAACTGCAAGATTCTGGCGATTTCAATTAAAGAGTTTTGATGCGTTTCAAGGCAGAATATGGATCTCTTTTTATCAAGAAGGCAGGTCACAATGCTATTTTGCTGGAGATGTAACATAATACAGCACAATCTAAAAATATAATATCCTACTTTAACAACTTTACCTTTCGTAATTGATGAGACATCCACAATTCCTTTTATACTACTTCCAGCACTGAAAATTTAGGATCATTTACATCAAACCACACTTAAATTGCTATTATTACACATATATATGTGTATTTATAAAATATAATTGTTCCTGTACATGATCTTACAGTTACGAAATTTTGGTATTTACGTATTATCTCGTCAACCATGAAAATTCACTACTATCAAATCATGAGAGGTAGCAGATATCCCACCAAAGTTGAGCCAGTAGTTTCTATGGAATTCTGATGGAACTGTGCCTCTCAATAAATAATAAGTATTTGACTTGCTTCATTTTTATGGTTCTTAAAAAGGCTTTTCTACTATTTTGTTAGGCTCTCTGATTTTACCGCAAGAATGTGTGTTTAGAATGCTATGAGCACAAATTTCCTGCAGGTTAATTATTCCAATCTATGACTGTTTTGACAGCCACATTCAGCTGACCATTCCATGTACTCTGATACACACTTTTTTATCCCTAATTTTGAAAATATTCCTTTGCTCGTGGCTCTGTAGAATGCAGGTTTCAAATTAATATTTTTTCCAAAATAAATAAAAAAATATAGAACAACAGCTAATTCATATCCTTATTCATAAAAACAAAACGTAGCTTTACAAAAATCAATCAAGATCACACCGAATGAAAGTTCAGATTGTTACGTTACCCTTATTCAAAACTGGCACCAAATCATATTGTTTGGTGAAAAGTTTCATAGTTGACAGGACGAAAGCGACCAAATTTCTTTTAAATATATACTGTTGCGAGTTAAGAGGTTCATAAACATCTCTTTAAATAATCACTCCAGAAGTACAAAAAGAAATTGGCAATTTATTATAAAGAATAACGACACACAACAAAATAAATAATTGCAAACATTTCAAGGAGAACACAAATCTTAAGCATATTGTCCACAGTGTACAAGAAATACTGTAAATTTCTGATATCGCTCACTAGAACTAATTAAAACACAATTCAACTAACTCTCCTCGAGATGCACACTGATTAACTACTGACATGTCTTGGTTCTTGGGGCCATATTTATATGGTGCTGTGTGGGCTTCTGGAAGCTATGAGAAAAACTGGCTGTAAGGCTTCAAAAATGCATTTCTCCAAATCTTCCCGAAAGTTGCACTGTTAGTGACAAATTGCCAAGCTACTACCAATTTTGCAACAAACCATCACTAAACCACTTCAGAGGTATATTTGCCCATATTTCATGCTCTATTTCAGGTATTTTTACCATTTAAACATTGTTGAATTCAGAATTGAAAAATCTACAATTCTACAGAAAAAATAAAACTTTATATATAGCCAAAGATTATATAACACAAAACACACCCTAAAACTATTACATTAAAAATCCACAAATCAAGAAATAATTAAGGATACACAGTATTACACCCTTACACAAAAACAAGAATGCAATCAAATGAATTTCACTATTTGCATAAATTTAAAACAATACATTTATACTAAGAAGAAGCAATTTTGAAATTTTCCTCAGCTATTAAAGCACACCAGCGGCTGAATGGTAAAGTCGCTGAAAACTGATAGTTTGGTCCAAGGTTCGAATCTCGTGGACGGGCTGGCTGCATGGTTTCGTGGTTTTCCCCATGCACAACGTGTATACGAGCCAGTTTCCCATAGAAAATCCTTCACAAAGCCATCCCTCCCTTCAGGCAGATAGTCCTCGAGGTTTAATCACAAACCAAACCTCAGATATTAAAAGTTTAACCTCAGATATTAAAAACTATTGGGAAGGATTGATTTCTATTTGATAAATTTATTTTAATCAATTTAAACTGTCATACTTTCTAAAATTTCTGATTTGCATTAATATACAGCAATATGTTTATCATTATTTACAGAACTATATTATTTAATGGTAATCATAATTAAAACTTTTCATAAATGTGAGCAGATTGAATGCGGTTTTGTAATTTTTCATCAAGCGCAACATGAATATGGATCAGTTTTTCTCTGAATACCCATCCTACCTAGAACATTTAGCATTTGAGTACTTTTGTCACTATCAACAGGCTAATCTTCAAAAATTAAAAATGTGATTTATTTAAATTAATTAAAGAATATTTTCATTGATTTAAATGCATATACTTGTTAAAAAAATTTCATGGCTACATAATTACTCTCAGTAAATTTCTTATTTGCTACTGTTTACACCTAATAATACACATTTCTAAAAATTTAGTGGCAAATAAAGTCATCTTATCCTTTTATTTGGCAAAAGAAAAGCTTTCAGCAACAAAAGTGGGAGATTTATAGAAACTTTAGCAAGAATTTGATATATTAGACATATAATTATTGAAATCAATAGCATTCATAATATTTTTATTTAAAAAATATCCCTTTCGGACAGATAAGTAAATTTATTATGACAAAGCATTCAAGTCTGTATCTACACTAGGAGATACATTTACATGCAAGACTTTTTTAATGCAAACTGGTATACATATCTGGGAAACACCATGAAAATGAATTAGTACAGATAGTCCATTGATTTGCTAGAATCTGATTCCAAGATCTCACTCCAGTCTTAGATGGCCTGTTTAAGATGCCCAATATATATTTTTTAACTATTCTTACTTATATGCACAACCTAATAGTTAAAGTTAACTGACCATTAGACTGTTTAGATACCTTTAACATATTATGATCAGACATATGAGGCAATCTAATTTGCAATCCTTTTTATTTGTAAAGCTTAGAGGTTACCAAATATCAGGTTATTTTATTTTTAAGCCATTATGACAATTTAAAATGCGTCGGTCCTTAAAATACTAACATTGCGGGTTTGATTCCAATTTGACAGCATATTTGATTTATATCTAACAATTTTAAAATTATTTTAGAATATTTAATCTAAAGTATAGCTACAAAACATGTACCATTTTCTTATCACTTTCAAGAAGTGGTTCTTCAGATAATGTTCTTTCTAAATGAGGATTATCCTCTAGCAGTGATGTCCTTTCTGTACACGGCCTTTTCTTCAAAGCTGCCTGGACTTTGCCTTCATAAACTTTAGTTTTCTCTGTTGGTTGATCCACAGGTGAATTGAGAGCTGGTACATCTATGTAACTGCTGTAGATAATAAAGAAGATCATGGCATATGTTTTAATGAATTCAGAAAACATAAATTAAAAGAAAAAATAATCTTGAGTTTGTAAATATTTCGTTTAAAATAGATAAGGTCAGTCAACCTAAAAATAAGACAACTGAAATTCCAAATCAAGGAGAGGAATTTTTCTTAAATGTACTCATTTATATCTTAATTAATACAATGGTGGAATACATAAAATGCCATCTATAAAATTAAGTTGCCTATAAGTCTAAAATCTTAGTCCTTCAAAATTTTGAATTTCAAGAAGCTCAAACTGAGTTTTAAGATACTGAATGTTAAACAAGGCTTGCTTTTGCGAAGCTATTATATTATATTAGAATGTTGGAGGCATCATTAAACGCATGTTAAGTACCCTTTTGCATTTTCCTAAAAATTAGACAGCAGTGTTCAGAAAAATGAAGACACGACAAACGGTTTAGAGACACGACAAACACTTTAAAAATGTATTATAAAATAAAATATGATTAAATTTTGTCATTTCTGAATGGACAAATTAAAGTCTCATAATGAGTAAGGTAGTATCAAGAAGACTTGGTATCACATACACATTTAGTACATTCTAGAAAGAGCTTATTTTCACTTTTTTCAGAGACAGAAATTTGTTGTTTCAACTTTTTCTTCAAGAGAGAAGAAAATGTTATATACATTGACCTGACTCAGTAGTATAGATATTAAACAAAACAGAACATCAGACTCAGCCAGAAACCTAGGAAAATTTTAAAATCAACTACAGAAGAAGATAGTATCAGAAAAAAGAACATAAAAGTAAAGGAAAACTGGAAAATTTATGAGGTTGCCATGAAGTTCGGTTTTAAATTTTTTTTTAAATTTATTTTCCTTTTTAACATAAACATTATTGCCGTCAAGCTAGTTTTCACCTAGACCAGACAAATTAGACAATTATAGTTTTTACTATTGAATTTTTATACACAGTAAAAGCAGATAATTATTTATTAATTTTAAAATTAATTCAATATTTTTAATAAATAATAAAATAAAAATTTTCCTTGTTATAAATAAAATAAAATTAAAAAAAAAAAAAAAAAAGATAAACTACTTATTTTCCTAAAAATTCTAATTTTAAAATGCCCAGATTAGCAGTTTTGAAAAGGTAGCAACACTGAACAAGTCTGCAGTAAAACAAAACTTAACTCAGCTGACTGTAATTCATCATCAAATTAAAGACCAAGTCAAAATATGTAGCCTTGCTATAAAAGAATGGAGTACTAGAAGTTGCTGAAGATTAAGAAAATCAAATGATTTGCAAGAATAACAGGTACTTACTTATTATCGCAACCACCTTAGTAGAAGTCAGTAAATTTTCAAATGTGCCCACGTATAGCAACTATGAACGTAACTGCTTTTCAAGCAACAAATGCTTATAACATTTCTTCAGTCAAGCAACATCACCATTTTCATACACATTCTTTCTGTTGTATTCCAACAACTTTTACAGGCAAATCGGGATATTTTCTGCCTTAAACTGAACTTTAAAATAAGTGCTTGCAGAATTTCCCCAGCAATGGAAGAAACTGAGGCAAAAATTCTGCAGGAATTTAGTATTTTGTCCCAAAATCGCTAAAGGGAATAATGATGAGATATGTTTGACAGCCAGGGCATAATGTCGAATGTGTGCAATTCTCCAATTTGTTAAGCAAAAATGGATTGATATAGACACAGAGAGATCAATAGTGAAAAAAAAAAAAAAAAATTACAGAAGGATTTTGTAAAAAATGTAGGTATTTTTTCATTTATCATATAATCCTCATTTAATAATTAAAATTTGCCTTTTACACTGATAAACATTGTTTTGCTTTGATATATTGATAATGCTTGCCCAATTACCAGAAAAAAAAAAAAGATAGTTTGACAATCTTTTTATAGAAAAATCAAAAAATTGCCAAATTGCGCCAAGGTGTTCGCATTAATACACAAGTACCAAAAAAAAAAAAAGTGTGTAGTCAGTAAGGATTCAAGAAATGTTATACATTTTATAGAATTAGTTTGAAGAAGCCAGAGTTTGGGGGGTTAAAAAAAGAAAGAGAAACTCAACCAAAGACCCATTTCTAGTTTATAGTTTGAATATTAAGGTTAACCATTGATAATATTTTTCACTTTCTCTGAACGTATAGTTGAAATTAAGCTGAGGTATATTTTTCAAGCAACCCATCAACAATAAAACTGCTGTATTCAGAAAAATATTGCACTTGTAATTTTTTGCCTTCAAATTTGATAGTGTTTTTATAGTTTTCACAGCTCTAAAATTTTTTCTTCTGACAGAAGTCAAATATCCAATACACTTACAGTACAAAGTCCGAAATCCAGACGTCCATTATCTGCAATGATCTAAAATCCGGACCTCGAAACCACCAACAATTTTCTTGTAGGCTTTACGCATGCGCATTTGATTCCCCCCTCTGTGCATAATAAAACAAATGGAGAATCCCGATTTTTAATTACACTTCGACACTAAATAAAATACCTTGTTATTAAAGAAACAATCATTTTAGCATAAATTTGTACGATCAGTAATTTGGCTCTGTTGCTGCTTGGCATACATCTCAAACCCAAACATTCCACATAAATACATCATTCATCTGACGCCAATCTGGCAAATCATTATTTATTATACTTTCATCACCGCATATTTATCAAACATGACAAATTGAGTAACGACTCATGTAGTGATGCCTAAAAATTTTTTTATGTTAGTAATTGAATAATAAAAGAGTATGGCAACCTTTTATGTTGACATTACTCTTGGCAATGATTACAGATTTAAATTGAATGCGCTAAAAAGTGTTGACGAGGAAAAATTTAACAAAAATTTCTTTCCATGTGCTAAAAATAGATTTTTTTTAATGATACTCATAGACCCAAAGATTTTATTTAAGGCTATTTGAACTAAGAATAATTGATTTGTTATTCGCATAAACTCAGAACCAGCAGCAGGGCTCGTATGGCTGCATCGAGTCAAAGAATTTAGGACCCACAGAGACTGCATCAGGCGATAAGATATCTAGCGCCGGCTTTCAATAAGGCTTAAGCATATGGTGGGAATTTATTTATTCTGAACTCTGATAAGCCTTAAGCGTGTGCAAGAAATAGACATAAATATAATAAATAACTAAACTAATACAATTCAAGCTTAATTGTCTCAGTGCGTGATAGAAGCAAGATAAAATTTAACGGAACAACTTGTTGTTAATCACCAAGCTCATTATGCCTAGCCAAATATATATAGTGAAGAATAGCTACATTTGATGATGATAGCTGCTAATTTTAAAAGTTTTCGGATATCACAAAACAAAGGTGAAATTTTCCAATTAACAGATTTTGTAAAGAAATGTGGAGAAGCGGTAATAAATGGAGATGATTATAAAAGAAGTTTTTCATTGTGATGACAATGCTTCTCAATTATTAATCAATTAATAAATGACGAAATCTGTAGTATGGTTATAGATCCAGAAAATACTGCTACTGGTAGTGAAGGAAGTGACAGAGAAGTTACGGAAAACGAGAAAATTTCAATTGACAAGTTAGTCAGAATTTTCAAAATAGCAGTTATAGAACTTCAACAATGTAACTAAACAAGAAATTATGTCTGTCTACAGAATTAAAGACAAAGTATTAGCACAAAAAACGAAGCAACTTGCATTGAAAGGAATGTTTAATAAGGTAAACAAATAAATAAAGCTTTTTTTTTTTTTTTTTTTTTTTTGTAAATTTTGATATTGTTTAAATCATAAATACTTCGTTATTTCATAAATCACAATTTCATATTTTTAATATTATAATTTCTACATGCCATCTTACTAAATTTAAACTGATGATCCTATATCCAGAAAAATCCTAAATCCGGAATTGCTGAAGTCCCGACGAGTCCGGATTTCGTACTGTATATAGATTCAAGAGTTTACGTAAAACTAACAGAACATATATAAATAAAAAGTCCAGGGATAAAATGGAAAAGGATAGCATCAAGGAAGTAAAGTAATTACACTGAAATAATATATTCCACATAGTTAAAGAAAAGGAAGAATGTATAATAAAGGAACAGACAACTAGAAATAAAAGGAATAAAACAGTGATTCACAAGCCAGAAGTATCAACTGAAAACTCCTTTAAATGTTTCTGAAATTTTTCTTGAAAAATACAGCTTCAAAATCCACTAGAAATAAAACTCAATTACAGTTATCAATAATTTAAGTCTGAAGCAAACTTTATAATTTCTTATGCTCATATCATAATTCTCAATATATTTCTCTAGTGACAGGGAACAGGAGAATACAATGATAGTGTTTCATTTTTAAGAATTATCTCATACTTAGGACATTTCCTTCCAAATAATGACACACAGTACTCTCCACGTCACATTGTGAGATTGTACTACTGAATTATTTTTACTATGCTGACTCATGAACATGTTCCCAGGTTATTAAACGACATATAACACACTGAAATTAGTCCTTTATATACTCAAAATAATTTTTTAAAAAAGTGTTCTCATTTTTTGGTTGATTTTTACAAGAGAAAACAAAATAAAAATATATAAGTACATTTTACATAAATACAGTAAAATAAAATGTGACTTGTAAAATGAAAAACCATATGCACAAAGGCACCAGTTTTCTACGACTAACAGTTAAATATATTCAATAATGCATGTAATATTTACAGAAGATCCATTAATTAAGATACAATAACACGCAAACAAATATTAATTTTAGAAGTCACACAACAAAAATCAGCATTATATGTGAAAATTTAAAAATATAATGCTGATTTTTGTTGTTTGACTTTTAATAAAAACATCCATTAGTTTTAAGGAATTACCGTATTTGCCAGAGTATAAGATGCACTTTTTTCTTTGAAAATAGGTCTGAAAAACAGGTTGCATCTTATACGTCGATACTCAGTTTTCGATTACATTCATTTCTGTAAATTTCTCCTATTATGCAATTATTTTCTTGTTTCCTTGTGGAATGAGGGAATATTATAGTTACATAGAGTTCAGTGAATGTGCATGAGCTGTCATCGACGATCACATTTGGGTTCATTTAAACTTTTGAATTTTTTAACAACTTTTAAGGGTGTGAAATTTTTACTGTATTTTCTTAAATTTGTCAAAAATAACGTCGGTATTGCTATAAGATAGCATACAAGCTATGTGTGATTGCATATTCTAAAGAACATTGAAGCAGGGCTACAGAAAAGCATTTCGGGCAACCCCAAATGAGAAAATGATAAGAACTTTGCAGAATCAGGAAGAGGATCTAGGAAAAGCAACTCGCAGTAAACATAGCGTATGAAGGGAAACTGCACAATGGCCTGATTACTTTATATTATTAATGTATTACCTTATATTTAAAATACTGTAAGTTCTTTATAATGATCAGTAATAAAGTTTTATCCTTTAAAAATGTGTACAAAAAAGGCTTATACGCTGGCAAATACTGTATATTTTTAGGTGATTTTCCATTATGCACCTGTCATCCATTTTGGCATGTATGTGTGTGTATACATATAGTACTTTTTCATTATGCACATACACACACACCACATAATGAAAAAGTAACTTCCCATAAACTAGGTATTTCTTCAATAAAAATTCTCTTCAGTCCCACTTACTCTGTATAGATTTAAAGATGTGTATTAATACTATCACAAGCTGTTACTAATTTTTTACAGACTGAATATATCGCTAAAAGTATAAAATATATCGATAAAAGATTATTAGTTTACATACTAACTATACCATTATATACACAAACAGGCTTATAAACATTTTGAACGGCAAAGGAAAATAACAACTATATTTATCAGTCTACTGGTTCAATTTATCACTCAAAGTTAAACAAATTATTTGAATATTTCAACATACTGCTGTATTTAAGAATCCTTCTCATTAATTTTAATAGCCACATGAAGTCATTACTCAAAATGTATGCAATAGAAGTATCCAAATATAATAATAACAACACTGCTCAATTAATTCATAACTTGATTATTTTCATATTAAAAAAAAACTTGCGCTTTCTAAATACATGTTACCAAATGAAATTATAGCAAAACTTGTATTTAATACTTGTACCACTAAGAAATTGCTCTGCCATCATCTCTATGGCTGGCAGTTACTTTATCAACAGAATCTGTTACTAAGAACTTACAATAGAAACAAAAGATATATTATATATATATATATATATATATATATATATATATATATATATATATATATATAAATAGTAAAATGAAGAAACATACAAATAAGCATGCAGTTCCACCTTACACATTAAATGTACATAAAATACATAGTTTGTACAATTAATTTAAACATATGTTTCAAATACTTACTTGGCTGTTTTTTGCAAAATTTGATTTAGCTTTGCCTGCTGATCAGTAACATTTGGTGTGGAATGTTTGTTAGATATGCTTTGGCTATTAAAAGACAAAATATGCATATTATTAATATGATAGTATATGCTTAAAATTGTGCGACAAAACAAATTCATACAAACCTGCCTGACCTAGATGATTCTCCCACTGGATTTCCCAAGAGATTAGTTTTATCGGTTTCCTCATTCTAAATAAAATACATAGATGTTATAAGTTTGATACGAATAGTATCAAAATTTACATTAACTACAGCAATCGTTTATCACCTTATGTATGATTAATCAAAGATTAAAAAACAATTATAAAATTTCATGTGCAAGACAGTTTCAAACGGATATTTTTCTTTACGTTGATTAAATAATGCCAGAATTACAAGTTGAATAATATCAGAATGTAATTCATTAGATGAAATTCTTCTGAAAATTCTATACCTAAATATTTAAGTCTTCTAGGGAAATATCAGTAGGACTTTCAATGAAAAATTGCCAGTGACCGTCGCGTCAAATCTTTTGCAGAATACATAGTATTAAACTTAGAGTACGAGACTTGAAAAGTATATTTAATTACGGAAGCATGTATAAACAGCTAAAAAAAAATCTCGATTAATTACTTCGCATCATTATTTAATTAAATTAATTTTTTATAGTGCACCAGCACTTGCCTCAAATATATCATCGTCTTGGTTACCACAACAAGCGCTGCACAGAGAGCCCATATTTAAAAGCTCGGAACCCGTAAGCTTTTCCTACTTGTTAAGATGTTACTAAACTGTAGCTTTTTAGGAATCATTAACAATTGGTCACATGAAAAGAGAGAGCCTTTAGAAATTCCCATTAAATAGCCAAACATCGTCATGCGCGTCATGTGATTTTAAAAGCAGACAGGTGGCGATAACGATAATAATCAGTTCTACGAGTAAACAAATCTCTGTCTAAGCTTTAGGTTTAGTGAACTACAAACAACATGTAGGCCATAAATAAATTTATAAAAGTTTTATTATGCATAATATCATGGCAAAAAATCAGCAATATTTATTGCTAATTATAATCATAGCCTCAGATAGCTGTTGTGAAAAGATGACATTCATCAAGAGTTAAACATTAGCAATTACCCCTGAACGGTTTTTCATCATCATATTCTAGCTTTCTAGCTCTAATATTATTATAACACTGCAACTGCATTACATGCTCTTCAAACAATCAGATTGCACTGAAGTGAAATGTCAGAACTTAAATATAGGCAGAACTAACACAGTTTCAAAGAATTCTGGTACTTCCTTTGTAGAACCGGAACACGATATTAAAGAAAATTCTGTGCATCTATCTCACTTTGAGAGTGAGCGAATGGGCATCGCAATTTCTCCAGCAAGTGGAGAAAACCCCGGCTGTATAAGTTTTGCCTACAGATATGCAACGACTTAAGCAAGAGGAACTTTTATGGGGTGTACAAAATAGCCAATCAGCTTTAAATATCTGTCTAAACTGGGGGGGGTTAGCGACTATACTCATAGTTTGTTTTTTGCAGGGCAAACGGAGCACATGCCTAGTGAAACTATGCTTCCAAGAATAGTACGTTAATTCGACTGCTTCGCCTAAGCTAAGCCAAACGGTCAATTTTAAAAGAGAATTGACGTAAACTTAAGAGATGGAAAATTTTAACCCCGAACTGATGAGATGAACCCACCAGCAGTCCAGCTGTAAAAGCCACTGAACACTAGTAGTTCGGTCTGGGGTTCGAGTTCTGGCGAACGGGCTGGCTGCATGGACGTTTCGTGGTTTTCTCCACGTATAACGTGGATATGAGCCAGTTTCCCTTAAAAAAGGTCTCCACATGGCATCCCTTTTCGTGTAGTGCCTAAGAGCGAAGCACCTTAAAAAAAAAAAAAAAAACACCTCTGAGATGAAAGTTTTAGCCTATCACAGACATGAAATCTATCACGAGATTTTTGTTGATATACATGCGAAAAACATGGCGGAAGATTTGATTACGTCTGGCTACAAATTAATTGAAGTGGAACAATATTTTATGGAAGAAAAGAATATTGAATGAAAAGAGGACAAGATGTTGCTTGGTTACTGTGTAAGGTTTTAAGTTAAACTAACCAAATTTCTTTTTATTTTAAGTTACCCTTTCCTGTGAACTCTTATTTCAACTTCCCTTCAGAATGAGCGCACAGTTCAGCTTTATGCTAATTTGTGTTTAAAGGTTAGTGATAAACTTCTCAAGGGTGAGAGAGCTTTTAGTCTCAGACCCTTGAGAAGTTTCTCACTAACCTTTAAATACAAAACTTGGCTCCAACACAAATTAGCATAAAGCTGAACCGTGCGCTCATTCTGAAGGGAAGTTGAAATAAGAGTTCACAGGAAAGGGTAACTTAAAATAAAAAGAAATTTGATTAGTTTAACTTAAAACCTTACAACTATTTGCCGAACAACTAAACTGAAATGGGTTCGATTCTAGAAGATGCTGCACAAATCAAGATATTTTTTATTTGCTAGGCTTGAACACGCCTTTTTATGACGCAATATTGGCTATGCCTCTTTCTAGAAGTTATAGTCTCGTATCCGAAGAAATTTTAAATTATACTTTTACAAAGTTTAAATATTAGTTTAATAATGTTTCTACGCGAGATTTTTTATTATAAATCTATTTTATTGTGTATTGTGTGCTATTCTTAACATTGAACACTATGAGTTAGCTCTCAAAAACGCATTATTAAAATTTACCAAACGATTAGAAATATTGAATAAAAGATATAAAATTTATGACCGTAACTGCTCAAATCAAAGAAAAAGAATTCTTTGATGAATGTGTTTGATGTCGATGCTTCCGCAGTACAGATGAAAAAATCAATTTTGATTTACTTACCAGTTAGAGCGAAAGAGTAAAAAAAAGTGTGACTGAGTGGAGAAAATGTTGATTGCAAGGTCGTATAAATGCAAGATTTGTGAAACGAATGGGAAATTGGTAGAGCAAAAGAGCCATATAGATGGCTTTAAGTAGAAATGTAGAGTTATGAGGCATATGTAAACACCTAATTACAAGGTCTGTTCGAAAGGATTCGCTGTTTGCGAAGAGTAATTAAACATGTGTAGTTTTTTCGAATTTGTAGTTGGGTTAAGTGCAGGAATGATTTTATACGATCTGACTGAACTAACAATATTGTGACAAATTGGTTGAAGCCACGGGTGGAGTCATTTTTAGAAATAATGAAAGCAAGTGTTATAATTTGTGATTTTCTCCTGCTGAAGAGAGTTCAGCAGCCGCGAGGCGAAGGATATAAGAATTATTATTTGAAAATAAAAAAACAGTTGGTACTGAAGATCCAAACACAAATATATTCGGCCCAGGCCGAGTACTGAAAGTAAGTTTTATTTATTATTACTGGCTAAAATAAAATATCGGATGCTCCCCAAATTTGATGATTTCCTTATAATGTAATGATATTATTGTAGTAGCTTTATTTTCGTCCTTTTTTCTGATGGCATTACTTTTTCCTTAGAACTCGAATCAATGGAGTTGTGTGATACGTATTTATCTCTTGGTCATTTGTTATCTGTTTTTGACTGCTATCAGTTATTTTTAAAAGTTAAAAACAGCAACTCTCTTTTATTTTCATTACATTGGAGTGTATATTGAACATGCAACTGTTCTAGGAGGATAGTGATCATGGTTGGGGCTCAGTGGTAGGACTGACACACCGGGTGAAGGACCTCCATCCCAGGTCCTCATTATACGAGACCCATTCAGAGTTTGAAATATCCAACACCCGTGGGACCTCGTCCTCGCAGGCGCAACCCCGCAGTCCCCGTCCGGCTTTTACTAAGCATTGGCCAGAACGCTTCGTTGCTAATTTTAAAACACTGTCACCTTGCCTCCGGGCACCACTCCATCAGCAAAACCACATTGTATTAAGGTGCTCTGTCCGCTTTGTCAGTCCCCGCCACGAAAACTGAATGGGGGCAAACCCCCGGGAACTCAGTCGACATGCACCATGTAGCTCCACCACAGCCGAAGGAACAGACACGACAGTACCAGCAATTAATCTAAATCAATCTAAATCGACAGTACCAGCAATTAATCTCTAATCCTTAGAGATTCTTTGAGTACCAGTACGGTCACTGCCAAGCCTGAACCAACCTGAGTACAATACTCCGGTTCTAGTCCTGTGAAGATAATTTGTATATCCCCGTGGTTGAGACTGTCTAGGTACAGATCCTAGCCAGTACTTCCCAGGCGTTCGCCTGAGTCAACCCCCGGGGGGTCAGTAGTAGGACTATATACGCGATGCCGAGGTTGTGCGAGATGCCGAGTTTGTGCAATTTTAAAATTTTTTTATAGCGAAAGCAGATCGCTGTGTACATGGGGAGATAGTCGTATTACATTGTACATTACGCGCAAGGTATCATTTTTGTATTTTTAATTTCTATTATTATACTAATTGTAGATTATATTTTTAATCATAATTTTTGTTTTTTAATTTAGATTTTTCATTCTTTTCAACAACTTACAAGTGACAGTGCAATTTAGAAAAGTTCCGCCCCCAATTTTTGTGAAGAGCAGCCCGGGGGGGGGACAGGACCGAGGATCTCCCACTTCTCTTATCTTAGCACCAACCTCTCGAGAGGACTTTCGGTTCGCCACATATTTAGAGTGCCTCCGTGCTTTACGGACCCTATACATTTACAAACATCCATGCCTTCTTCGAGATTCGAAACCGCGCCCTTCGGCACGGTAGTCAGCGACGCTAACGACTACACCAACAAATCCATGACGATTCAAAAGATTTTAACGCAATTCATACCGAATCGTATTTTCGAATGTCAATTCTTGGGTGATGTGATATCGCACTTGAAAGAACGTTTTATTAAACATGGAAGAAATAAGAAATATGAAATTTGTTTAACATTTTAATTCCCCAAAAGAATAAATTCCTTCTCTGATTTGAACATAAAAAAGAACGCGAAAACCTTTCAGATATATATATTTCCGATTTGTGCATCGCACTATTGAGTATTTTAAACCCTAAATATCAGGTTTGGCAAAGTGAATTGCATTAAGAGCAAAATAGTTTATCTATTTTGCTATTAATGCAATAGAGATTTTTCTTAATTATTTATGAACTTTTCAAAATCTTAATACTGTTACCAGTTACCAATTATATTGCGAAAAGTTACTTTTCTACGTTATAATATCTAAATAATTATTTATGTACTGATACATGTGAAATGCTTTTAAACGGATTATGATGTTTAGATTAAACTGAATTTTTAAATGGCAAAATTATAAATAAGAAAAGTAAGTAAAGTAGGCATTATCACGGTGATTGCAACCCCCCCCCCAAAAAAAATCTAGGTACTCCACTTCTGGCATTAATAATAATTTCAAAGCAAAAACTAATTAAAATAGTAATAAAACTATGCATATATTTATTTAATAATGAATTCTCTCATTAAACATCAGAAGTAAGATAAGCTAATGCAAACTAAATAAACCCTTTAATTTGGCGTATATTTTGAATAAAACTACCGATTTTGAGAGAAATCAGATACAGGTTCCTCCTATTCAAAAGCAAAACGTGTTTTTCCAGAATTTTTGCAAAAGGCATTAAGTATGATTATGACACGTAAAATGCGTTTTTCTTGGGAAGAATAAACAATCAACCGAAGAGACGAGAATAAGGGACTGGTAAATTAAAGACAGATTTAACACCATGATTACCTTTATTCCCTAACTCTCAAACTTTTAAGTCTTTCTTTCCACTATCGACTCTAGTGAGATATAAAACAAACTATTGTTTGTTACAATAAAGTCGGTTTAAGCGGGTCGCAGATTGGCTATACTTGAAACAAACGATACAATAAAA